CCCCTACACGGCCAGACCCACGATTCTCAAGGCCGAGCTTCCCATGTCCCCTGATCGTACCATCCTCCGCACCGGCGGCACCTCCTCCTCCTCTCGCCGCCGTGACCTCGTGTTCGTCGTCAATCCCCGAGGTACGGCGATGCGACTAAGAGTTGGGAATCATCGGATTTGGTCAAGGATGTTAGAAATTCTGTTTCTGTTCGTTTCCCATTCTTCGAAGTTCCTGCCCCGAGGAGAAATGATGATCTTGACACGGATTAGATGTTTGATTTTCTCTTTTTTTTTTCCTTATCTGTTTTGGAATTAGAAATCGTGGAACGTTGTTGTTCCCTGCTTTAAGGGTTTGGTAATGGAACAGGTGCCAATGGTAGAACAGCTAAGGAATGGAAAAAGCTGCTTCCTTTCCTCCGGTCCCGTCTTGATAAAGACTGTAATGTAAGTTGATTTTGATTATCTTTCACCAAAAAAAAAAAAGTTGATTTTGATTATCTTTGCTGGTTTTCCGATCTGTACATCCGTTTTGCGTCAACTATGGTGTTTCCAATGTCGGAATGAGCAAGTTATCACGTGATGGAGTCTGTTTCCATATAGTTGTTTCGACTGTAGGTTTGTGTAGCGATACCATCTTCTTCTTTCGCTTTGTCTCCACTCCCCATTGTCTCTGGTGAGAATAATTTGTCTCTTTCTGTGTACAGATCAGTGAATCTTTTACATCGGGTCCTTCTCATGCCATTGACATTACTAGAGAGGTAAATGGAGCAAGATTTTGAGTCTCTTGAGCGTTGTTGGGTGATATTCTCTGTCTTGCCACTTTATTATATGGTTCTCATTTCTTGCTCCAATGTGCTCAGGCTATTAAGGATGGTGCTGATGCAGTAATTGCAGTAGGAGGTGATGGAACCCTTCATGAGGTAAAATCTGAAACTTTTCTCACTAAAGAGATGGAATATACAAAGCTGTGGATCATTCCGTCTTGTGATCTACAGGTTATTAATGGATTCTTTTGGGATGGGAAACCTCTTGCTACTCTCAACAAGGTGGCTACTCATTCGACTGCTCTCGGTGTGAGTGATTTTATCACCTAGTCCATGAACCTTCTTCTACTTAGTCTATTGGTTTCCATGGATTTCTCATGGAAAGTTAAGTTGGTTTGCCTTTTTATACAGCTCATTCCCCTTGGTACTGGATCTGATTTTGCCAGGACATTTGGTTGGTGAGTTCTTACAACTTATGTTTGGTTTCATCGCTTTCGAGTTGTCCAGTTGAGTCACTGCTAAGTATGTTCTGCATTTGTTAGGAAAAACGATCCTTGTGAAGCCATCGAACGCATTGCAAGAGGTTTTCCACTGATCTTTAACTATCTTTATCTTCACTTCCTTCTGTATCACCACTAGAGTGGTAAGGAGCTTTCGTATAATTATGGTATGAGACGGTCTCCCTCGTTTAATGATATATATAGAAGCCATTTTGCAGGGATGAGAACATGGATCGATGTCGGTGTTATTGATAAAAAAGGAAAGGATTTGCATTACTTTGTTAACGTTGCGGATATTCATTTGTAAGAGCAACACATAATTTCCTGTGTAATGAACTGCTCCTTGTTGAAGTACCCAATAATGGTTTCTCACTATGTATTGTTACTCGCGACTGCAGAAGCGCAAAGGCTGGTTACTATGCTTCAAAATACAAGAAATTCGGGAACTTGTGCTATGTAATCGGCTCCCTTCAAGCTTTTATGGGACATCATAACCGAGATATGAGAATCAGGGTAAGCAGTTTATGGTCTCATCTTGAGTGTTAACCGATTTCATTAGCATTCTCTTACGCTTAGGTCAATGGAGGAGAGTGGAAGACCTATCCTCAAGTCACAGCCCTCTGCATTGGAAATGCGAAATATTTCGGCGGCGGAATGAAAATCACGCCCAATGCTGACCCTCGAAATGGAAATCTCGAGGTGGAATGACCCGTTTATGCAAACGTTTATTAGACTCGAACGTCATATGTGGAGACAGCATTGCAGTATTGACGGCTTTCTGGTTTTTTGGCAGATTGTGATCCTGCAGGACTTCAAATGGTACGACTTCGTGCTGAAACTGTATAAGCTATACAACGGGACGCACCTGTCAGTCGAGAATGTGACTTCACTGAGGTTAGAGATTAGCATTTCTTTTGCTAGTTAATCCCATCTGTCAGTCAAGAATGTGGTGACTTCACTCACTGGTAGGTATTGTTTTCACGGCAGTGTACAAAGTATTGAAGTGGAGGAGATTAAGGATAGCGGAAGCATCTATGTTCAGTCCGACGGCGAACATTTAGGATTTCTTCCCCGGAAGTTCTGCGTGATGCCCGGCATCATCGAAATGATATGCTGATCACACCCACTGGCGGATCACAGAGAAAAATTCAGATAGTGGCGACCAAAAGTGTAGAAGAGGAGAGCCCTGAAATCAGATCAGATCAGACAAAATATCTGACTCGTGTTAAGATTCAGTTGTTGTTGTTTTGTCATGTCGTGTTCTGACATTTGCTTGCGGCTGAGCCTCTGATAGTCAAATTTTACTGTAAGAGATCTTTTTTTAGTATCTACGAATCTAATTGTGTACGGACGGTGTTGATCTGGCTACCCTTCATGCCGTGTGTGTGTGTGGTCTGTGTTAACCCAAAGCTTATAAGATATTTTTTATTCAGCATCACTACTAGTAAACCCACCGACCAAGAACACGAGAAAAATGGTAACAGCTCTTTCCATCAATCCCTTCGTCGCCGGTCCCAAAGCACTCGCCGGTCAAACAAGACTCCGGCCAAGTCGCGGGAATGATGCGGCCGGAGTACGTTGCAGCGGAGGGAATTCGGAGACGAGCAAGGAATCGGAGCCGGAGAACGCACTGCTGAAGATGGCATGGTACGGATCGGAGCTACTAGGGATGGCGGCTTCAGCTTTACGGCCGGCGGCGAGGAGAGGAGCGGAGGAACCTCGGCATCGGTGCGAGATGGTAGTGGACTGCTCGGGAAGGGTGGTTAGGGTGGCGGTGGTGGACGCGATTAAGCAGGACTTCAAGAGGTCGTACTTCGTCACAGGTAAAGTAATGTCTCGGGATTTGTGTGTGGTCAGGATCCGACATGGGAGGAGGAGGGAAGACGAGTATTTTTGGTTGATTGATCCAGGGGACATGACAACGGGGGTGTACGAGGAGGACTGTGAGTTCGCTGATCCGGCGGGTTCCTTCAGAGGTGTCCGGCGTTTCAAACGGAACTGCGGCAATTTCGGTGCGCTTATCGACAGATCCAACATGAAGCTTATGAAATGGGAGGATTTCGACGTATACTCTCTTTCTTTTATATATAAAAATTAAGCCCAAAAAAAAAGCTATTATTAGGAACTCGTACCGCCTTTTCAATTCTGTCTGAATGACGCAGGAGAGAGGAGTCGGGCACTGGCGGTTCAGTTGTGTCATGTCGTTCCCATGGAAGCCCATTCTCTCCGGTACCCACCCCCTTCACAGTTCGCGTTTTCTTGTCATTTTTGTTAGTAAAAAATCATGTTATGAACTGTTGAATGCAGCAACTGGGTACACGGAGTACTACTACGATGCGGAGTCTGGAAAAATAAGCAGGTAAGTTTATATAGAAACCAGACATTATCGGAATCTTCATGCGTGTATAATTGGTGGTGAAGAAGCCTTTGCCTTGTGTGTTCTGTGCTCTGCTATGAGGGCAGGCACGTAGAGCACTGGAATGTTCCCAAGACGGCCCTCTTCAAGCAACTTCTCAGACCCAGCCGTGGCCGGAAGGCCCGCCCTTGACCCACCTTTCCCAATTCCGTACACTTAGAAAACACATAAAGAGAAGAGAAGAGGTAACACTCCCCTCCTCCCGTGTGGATTATACTGTGAAGAGAGAGCAAGTGAGAAAGGGAGTCAACAAAACGAGAACATTCCTTCCATGTATCAGAACATTCATTCTGCTGTGATGTGGAAATCTAACTAAATAAACGCACAGCTTGAAATTCGCAAACATTTATCTTTCAAACTAGGCAGATGAACTTAGAGATCCACTCTGATGCTGGATGGAAATCATTTACTTCAAATCTGGCCTTATTCCTAAACAAATACTAACTTTGTCTTGAAGTCTACTACAGATGTCTCTACTCCTATAGTCTTCCTATTCTACCATCTTTTGTCTATAATTCTACAATGCCAGCCTCTGCATTGCAACCTCCCTTTCGATCCTCAAGGGTCAAGGCTACCAGTATGGCAACCCACCACTCAAGACTAGAGGAGGGGCATGTCGAGTACAACCGAATCGGTTTCCCATATCCAAGGAACTCCTTAGCAGAGATGTTAAAAGGTATATAACCTGGAGGGATCTTTTTTTTCTTGCCTTGGGTTCTCATCCACTCCTGTCTTGCAGCTTGCAACTTCCTGCCAACTCAACTCACTATGTCCCATACCCGATATAAGAAAGGCGTTGCAAGAACCTGTGTCGTCGTTCATCGAACATTAAATGACATGGTTAAAAAAAAGGCATGGAAAGAAGACCAACACATCTAGAGACGAGGTGTGAGCGATAGTTACCCTCAAAATCATGCAGATGCCACTGCCCTATCCCGATCGCCAGTTTGCATATCATCGTATTCCGGCCCAGAGTTACTCCTCTTCACTTTAGAACCATAGAATGACAACCACTTTGCTACAATAAAATAGAGAGAGCCAATCAGAAAGACATGATGTGACATATTATAAATGGTGGCTGAATCCTAAAAAAACATGGTCCAAACTGATAAGTCACTTGAGATCAATAGAAGCAACCTACATATTTTTCAAACTCAGAGCTGTTTAGATTCACATTGAGGTTCCTCATGAGCAAAAGGGCCTGTAGAAACAGGGAGAAGGCTTCGGTAAATTATATGAGACATAACATATAATTATCTGAGACATTTCAAACTTAGGCAACGAAAACAAGCAATCTGCCCTCACTTGTAACACGGAATTTACTTACTGTTTCCAAGTTTATTGGATCCATCTGCTTCAGCCTTTGCAAATGATCAGTTGCATTGGGATCAAAGACACTGCCTAGAAAACTGTAAACCTGTGAGAAATCTGGCATAACTGCACAATGAAATAAAGCAAATTCGTTAACTCAATGCCTTAACTTTTAAACTGATACAACTTCCAACTATCTTAGGGACAAACTCGACCTCTTATTAGTCTGCCTTTGTCAAGTTGATCATTAGGCTCGCAGAACCTCCTATCCTTCTGTGCAGATTCATTAGAGCTACTGTAGCAAGAATCCTTGGCAACCATTGGCGCATATAGCCTCTCCTTGTCTAAGATACCTAGATGGTTCACGGACCTTTTTAATGTCAGCACAGAGAAAATAAGAGGAAAAACACGCAACAAAAAAAAATTGCATAGAGGCAAAGGCAGTACCATTCGCCATTGGTGAGGTGTTAACAACAGCCACTGAGTTCTGGATCCACAAAGGCATTCGTTTATTGCTTTCCATGAGTTCAACAGATCCGGCAGAAGCCTGAAATCGTCCCTCGGGTTGCGATACAGCAGCTACTACCATGTATCAATACATAGGCTTGAGCATATAATATGCATATGTCTACTTCTAACGAAACAGCATGGACAGCACAAACATACCATTTTTAGGGGCTTTTTGTGGATAAGGACGTGTCGCTTTCCTCTTAGGCCGAGGAGGAGGGACATGTTCTCCAGTTCCATTCTTCTGAACCTTGAGGAAGTATTTCTGTGCGTGGCTCCGAATCTGTCATCATCATACTTCATAAGAGATCGCAGAAACTCGATTCTAGAAGTAATAGACCGGCCATGCTAACTGCGCAGCTTGGCTAACAAGTAGTCAAACACCAAATGATCCAACATTTGAGTACATTACAGAGTGCTTTACCGCATAACGCAAATACTACGCTCTGCTAACTTTTCCCAAGATTTGAAATCCCTATGGAGCTGCTCAATTTTCTCTTCTGTTTTGTTCCCACCAAAAGTAACAGATTTTTTTTGGTTTGGGGGGGGGGGG